ATCCTGGCTGCCACCAACCAAAGACTCTTTCCCGGCCTAAGAGACCTAGGGAACGGCTCTGCCACTCGGCTCTTTCCCGTAACACTCGCCCGGGGCACTATCCACACACGGCACCTCCCTGGGTGAAACACACGGCCAACACAGCGGACAGGGTGGTGGCCCCTGAAAAGCTGTGTTTTAAGCTATTTCCTTAAAAATCAGAGTTTTTTTCATATACAAATCGGCAGCTTTTATGTAGCAAAAAGTGAGATTTGTGTGCTAAAGTGGCAGAGAGGGAAATGGGAGAGAAAATGGGAGGGCTCCCCACTTCATTTCCTGGTGGGAATGTCACTTGCAGAGTGGCTCGCACACACCACCCCGCCCCGGCCCTCGCTGCACCCCCAGGGATGCTCTCCTTCCAGCCCTCGCTGACTGGCCTTCAGAGCCCAGCTCCAGCCCTGCTTCCCCCGGACAGCCTCACCTAGCTGGCACTCGAGGGTTCCGTTGTTGGTCAACTCCAAAAGCTCTCACCACTCACACAGACCACATGGCGTGGGTTGGTCCTCGTGTATTTCCCCAAACACTGAGCTTCCCTCACGTTAGTCAGTGGCAAGGCCTGTTCTCTCCTTCCACAGCCTGCACGACCAAGCACACAGGAGGCCTCGCTGGCTCCTGGGGCTGCCCCGAGCTGCTGGTTTGACTGGACAGCCTTTCAATTCTGAAGTGCATTTCCATCCCCATTTATCCGCTCAACAAGTATTTCTGGAACACCTGCTAAGACAGAATCTCGGGTCATAGATCAAAAATATAAAAAGCCCTTGAGCTCCAGGAGCTCACAGTGAATGAACATTTCAGAGCATGGTGGCGGGAGTAGGAGCTGGCGGAGCCGAGGGGGACGGCCACCCTAGTGCACCCTAGCCGGAGTGGAGGCAGCTGAGACACGCCCTGCAGGGCGGAGCTACCCCGCCCTGCGGAACAGCAACCGGGCGCAGCATCTGACTGCCTTGTCTATACACTCCCAGGGGCCTTCCCTGGCCCCCCTGCAGCATCTGCTCAGGTGAGACAATAATTTTAACACTGGCCTAAGAATAATATAGTCACATAGGTAATACTGCCTCAAAAATAATTAATGATGCGTTTCAAAGTAAGAAACCCAATGTGCTTTGACTGTCTTCCAGCAGGGGGGTGGCCTGGCTCTTGCCTCCCTCTCGGGTCCTCTCATCTGACACTCCCATCCCAGGCTGTTTGCCCAGAGGCTCCTGTCCATCCTGTCTGCTCACTGCACCAGTCGTCCCCCAGGTCTTGCTGTCCTTCACCTCATCTGTGCCACTGGCCTCACCTGGGCCGAGCTCAGGCACTGCTGCGTTCGCTCACCTGCCTTTCCTATCAGACAACAGCAATTGGAGAGAGCGACTAGCGAGGCCTTGTTAACCCTCCCACCCCGGGGCCTAGCACAGTGCCGGGCACATAGCAGGCCTTCCATAATACGTGCCAGCTCAGTGAATTAAGAGAGAAAGTGTATAAGGCTATGTGGGCTATAAGAGAAACAACTGAGAAAGAACACACTTTCTCTCTCACGATTTCTAATGAAATGTCAAAACCTTTCCCCAACCCCATTTACATCCTATTTTAAGGGGCAACTGAAGCTGTAGGTCTGTCTTTGAAAGGCCTAAGGAAAAAAATTATTATTCCACAAAATTCACACCGGTCCTGCTCTATCTCAAAGCTACCTTGCTTCTTGTCTCTCTGGAGGAAAGAGGAGAAATCAGCTTGGAACGAATCAATCAAGCAAACATTTATCAGGACTTTCCGTTCAGGGCCGTGCTAGGCACCGCACACACACACACAGATTCCTGCTTCCAAGTCGAGAAGAAGAAACCAGACCGAGGAGCACAGAATGTCACATTTCCTCTGCTTTCGGCCTGGCTTTTCCTGAGCTCTCCCCGACTTCCTTCTCAGTTTATTCTCACCCCATGTGACACCAAGCTTCCCCGTGGTGCTACCTCCTCCCACTTTCACAAAGCCTTCTGACTTCTTCATTCTTCTCTTTTCTGTATTCTTGTGGAATTTTCTTGTCTGTATAATTAATTTTGGCATTTAATCATGTCTTATATTATTATCCTTTTCTTGCGAGTTTGTCTTCTCTCTCCCAGAGAGCCTGTAAGATCCTTAAAGATCATGTTTCAAATCCCACCATACTGTCCTGAGCACACAGTAGGTGCTTCACAAACACTGAGGAACTGACCATTCTGGTAGGTCTCCACATTCTCTTTGCTGACACTGGCATTTACTACCACCCCAAGTTCCACCACAATCACCAAAGAGCAGAGATACCCAAAGAAGCACCGAGTAGGACATCTGTCACCAAGGAGGAGGACGGGCTAGCCCAGAGGTGACAATCCGGGGCACTGGGCTCCTTGCAGCGATCTCGGAAAAGCTACCCTTCCCCAAGACGTGAGCATTTGGGGCTGAGCCCAGAGAATCCCATTTTCTAGACTTGGGCTCAGGGAGAAAATGTCCTTAAAAAGTCAAGAAACGTGAAGGGAAGGGCTGCCTGAGCTCCAGATGTAAACCGGCAGGAACACACATGAATGGAGGCCATAAATCCCTCCCAGGACGCAGACAATGCCTCAGCGATAAGCATGCAGATTGCACACCTAGTTCAGAAACTCCCCTGAGTTTGCTTGTAATTAAGGGGGTTAGAAAGGTAAAAAAAATATATAAACCCAATTAATCATTTAAATATTTAAAGTCAGATTTCCCCTCACTCCAGGATTAGTGTATTTCATAACGCCGGTGCAGACAGCCCTGGTTTTTACTGGGGTTCATTTTAGAGCGTGTTTAAACTCGTCAGGTTGAGTGATGCTTCCAGCAACTAATCGCATGTCAAATAAAAGATATTTTATGTAATAAATTACTGCTACAAGTAATTCAAATGTCATTTATCAGTTTTATTATCAGTCAGGCAAAGTCTTCTTTCTCTATATTAATCAAAATCAAGCTTTTTTTTTTTTTTTGGAGCAGTTTTGACACCTCTTGGCAAAAGTACAGAAGTGAAGAGGCAGCGCCAGCCCGGAGCTGGAGGGAGCGGGGCAGCGGCACAAGAAGAATGACCCTCCCCGGTGACACCAAAGCGGCAGGTATTTAGAATTGCCATTCCCATTGTTTTTACACCAGCGTCAGTGCAGGAAGGAGTCTGTCTCTAAGAAGATGTATTTTATTTTTAGGGCTGGGAGACTCTTAAAAATACTCCTACCTAAATACCTAACCGGGTAATGCTTTTTCTCAGAGCAATCCGGACAGAGGATGATTTAAACGACTGAGCCGCCCCTCCCCATCCCAGGCTTTGCCTCTTCAGAAAGACGAACAGTTTAACCCTTTGTGTCTACTCACAGGAGGCAAGCGCAGGATGTTTTAGGCCAACTCTGTGATCAGCCAGAACACTCTGTCCTGAGCAAGAAGTTTTCAAGTAGCCGAGAGACCTGTTCGGTATTAAGCACTAGAGGAAACAGCTGGAATAGAACAGATGTGCATCTTAGAAACTTCTGCACCCCAGCTGCCACTGCCCGTCCTCAACAAATCCCACTCAACGGCTGGGCCAGGGACACAGTAAGCAAAGTGTGGAGACTTGATCTTTGGTTAAAAGGAAACACAGAGTATGGTTAGGGACCCAAAGCAAACACAATGGGTGGGGAAGAATGCTGGCCAGGAAGGAGGAAAGAGTTCCAGGCCGACAGGCAGCTGCTACTGACTCCGGAGCCGCAGGACAAGGCTCACCACGAGGCATGTTCCTCTCGTCTCAGGCCACATGACACCAGTGGTTTGTCAGACAAGGCGACCACAGATGAGAGCATGTGAGTGTGTGTGACCTGGTCTCACCCCTTCAGCCTCATCCACAAGAAAAGCAAGCAACAGTCTAAATGAGAGCGGGGCACACACAGCGAGCGGCTCTAACCACTGCCCAGCCCTGCCTCTGCACAATGATGTCGCCCCCGCTGGGGCTGAGCCAGGGAGGATGGCAGAGTGAGCCAGACAGGAGCTCCAGAACACGCGACAGGGGTTTAAATCACACCTTTTAAAATCTGATAGCTAACACCGTTTTAAATCATGTTTTGAAAAAATAAAACTTCCGAGACAGACAATTATACAAAAGGCATTTTGAAAGATGGCAAATTCAAGGCTGAGTTACATTAAAGACACAAAACTGAGCTATTTTTCATCACTTTGGAGTCAATTTTAACCTTTTTAGACTTTGTACAGGTGACTGAAAGAAGGGGTTCTGGCTGTATTTGAGGTGTACATTTATTACTAGTTTAAAGAACCTCAATTCCCAAAACAGCTCTTATTTAAAAACAACAAAACCTCCTGTGGGTCATGGTCTCATGTTATAATTAAACACTACATACAAAAAGGACATTTACATCTAATCTGAAATTTTCTAACAGACTGCCACTGCATAAATATACATGGTATAGCCAGGATAAGGG